GGGGAGGGGAGTTTATCTAGAATTAGTTTATCTAGAAGTAAGTTTATCTAGAATTTCACTCCATCTCCTCATCCCGCAGGGGAGGGGAGGGGAGGGGAAGAGAAGGGGAGAGGAAGAGAAGAGAAGAGAAAAAAAAGAGCATGTCCTGTTTTGTAGAGTTTACTCATTTCAATGATATAAATATATACCAATGGTTTACAACTAGCTAGCAAAATTCCTGAAAATGTAAAAGCCAGCTCTTGCAATCTAGTTCTAGCTCTAGCACAAACACTGACTGTGCTATATTTTGAATTCAGTTCCTTTGGAGGGCTGAAATACGCTGACAAAGTTGCCCTCCCAAGCCACATCTTATTCTAATGTAGAGATTCAACTATAAAGGTAAAAGGGAGTTTACCCATTTAACTTCTTATGACAATGTGCAAATGATTAAAATAGCCAATATAGAAAATTTTAAAGAGGAGGTAGTGCCTACCTCAAGAAGCTTATAATACTATGAAAAAGAAAATCATCAGGTAGGGGAAGTGGCACTGTTATGTCTACTTTAAAGATGAGAGAGCTATGGCCCAGAAGGGGTGATTTACAAATGGCACAGCCAGTAAACAGACAACAGAACAAGAAAGTATCAGAGAGAACTAAGTTCTTTGACATGACAGAGAGTGGCAGGGGGAGATGCTTACTTTGGGGGGGGGGGTCAAGGAAATCCCACTGAGAAGGTGACATTTAACCAAGACACACATGACAAGAAGGAGCCAGCCATGTGAAGATGGGGGTAAGAATATTCCAGACGGAGGGATCATAACCTAGTGGGAAGATCCTGAAGAGGGAAAAACAGTCTGAGAAAAAGTCAAGAAAGAAACAGAAGCTGGACCAGAGAGTGAGGAGCAGGTAGTAAAGAAACCACAGAGACAGGCAGGGGCTGGGTCCCAAAAGTCCTGGGAGGCTCAAGTTTTTTCAAAGTCTAATAGGAAGCCTCTGGCAGCATTAGGTTGAGGAGTGACACGATCTGATTTATGTTTTTAAAAGCTCATGCTACGGTTTGGCAGTTTCTTACCAAGTTAAACCCATACTTAGCATCTGACCCAGCCATCCCACTCCTACGTAATTACTGAAGAGACAGGAAAACTTATGCCCACTCAAAAATCGGTATGCAAATGTTTATAGTACTTTATTCGTAGTTGCTAACAACTGGAAATGACTGCATTGTCTTTCAACTGGTGCATGGACAAACTCTGGCACATCCATACAGTGGAATACAGCTCATCAATATAAAGGGACAAGCTGCAGATCCACCTAACAACATGGATGAGTCCAAAATGCTTTGTGCTAAGTGAAAGAAGTCAGACTCAAAGGCTACATTCTGTATGATTCCATAGATAGGACATTCTGGAGAAGGAAAATTATAGGAGCAGAAACCAGATCAGCAGTTGCCAACGGTTGGGAATCAGGGAAGGGCCTGACAACAGAGTCAGCATGCTGTTGTATTTGGGGGGGGGGTGTTGGAACGATTCCGTCTTGATGGGAGTGTATGCATTTACCAAAATGTATAGAAGTGGACACCAAAAAGAGTAAATTTTACCGTATGCAAATAAAAATAAACACATAAAAGCTCATTCTGGCTGTTATTCAGAAGTGCCAGCCCAGAAGTAGGGAGACCAGCTAGGCAGTTCCGGAAACTGTCTAGGCAAACTCTGATGGCAGTCTGGACAAGGGACAATGTCTTACATTTCCCAGCGCACCAATCCCTCCATTGTTCACCCAGTAAGAGGACAATATATATTCTTTGAGTTGAACGAGTAGAGTTCTTTACGGTCATTCACAGCTACAACAAAATAGGTTGATTTTTTTTTTTTTTTTGCCTCTACCTAATTGTTCTGTCCCCAGGTGAGCAACACTAGTGTTTTCATCAGCAACATTGACAAAGGGCTCTGTGTGACTCTTGGTCTGCCCTGTGCTCTGCCAACATGATTAATAGCTCAGTTGGGGAAGGATTACACAGTTCTTAAATTTATACCCACTCATTTGAAACAATATCCTTGAGGTTCATTGGGCTGAGCAAGGTTCACATAACCCAGGTAGGCCTCATTGGAGAAGTCCTGACAGGAATGGGTGTAAGCTCAGCATTTGTTTTACCACCTTTTTATCCAGGTGCTATTCAATAAATCAAATGATACATGAACAAGAAAAATCCTGTTTATGCAGGAAAAAAAAAAAAACCCACAACAAAACCCATGTCACTCTTACAAGAAAGCTTTCCTTCTTTCCAATTGCTTTGCATGGCACTGGTAATTCAAAACTTATTTAAAGAGTTCTCAGCAAGTGCTAATCTTAATGAAATGACTGGAGTCAAAATTTAAGTACTGCTTTAAAAAGCTCAATTTAGATTTCAAGTAATTTTTGAAAATCGGGTTCCCAGATTAGAGCAACCACTTGATTATCTTTTTCCCCTCCTAGCAATTAGGAGAACAAATGAAGCAATGGCTAGTTTGATGATGATCTTGAGGGTTCTTGTAATCACTAATTTTAGAGGTGAAATGGTGGGGAGAGTGTCCAAATGAATAATCATTAAATGCAGAAGTTTTAGAAAAAAGGGTATCAGAGATGGGTAATAAAATCAATGGTCCTTTCCCCCTCAGAGCTATGGAGAAGCTTCTTGAAATAACGCAGGGGACCATGCAAACTCTAAAATGCAAAAATTGAACCACCTCCTATGTATTCAGCTAGGTATTAACTGTAGCTGATCTCTGTCCTTGGAGAATTAACCACTGTCTCCCCATCACTATTAACTATTCCTCCTTAGCAGATGTTGCTTGACCCAGCAAATGCCTCCACCACTAACCTAGGCACATAAAGCAGAAAGTGAGGCATGCATTCTTGACCAATTCTTCTGCCCTGTTCCTCACTTCCATCAACCTCCAAGTCCTGTGGATCTACCTCCTAAATGGTGTTTGAATCCGTCCACTTGTTTCCAACCCACTGTCATCTTGTAACTGAGCCACGGGTGCACTGCCATCCTAACTGGCATTTCTGCTTTTTCCTCTTCAAATTATTCTTCCCATTGTAGCCAGAAGAGCAGTCTTTAATAAACGCAGGTCTGATGGAGTTACTGAGTCCCTTAAAATCTTTCGATGGTGTCTACTGACTTCTGGATCAAGTCCGAACTTTTTATGATACGGCAGAGACCACAATATTTACTAGACAGTCCTGTACTCCCCTATACTTCTCAGCTGCCTTGAAGACAGGTGAAGCTAGGGGACTGGTTCAGGCCAGTGGGCGATGGGTGGAGTAACAAGTGTAACTTCTGAGCTGAGGCATTTACTGATGTACAACTCACTTTTCCTTACTCCTCCCTTGCCGTGAAAACTGGGGAAGTCCGCGTGCTCCGGATGGCAACTACAAGATGGCTCAACCTCAGTGTGGGTTCTGGAGTGACTCTGTGAGTATGGCCTCTCATGGTCCTGTGCTGAACATGTAATGTGGGTGAGAAGTAAGTTTATCTTTGTTGAGCCATTGACAGTTTGGGGCTCTTTATTACCATAGCATAACCTAGCTCATCCTGACTCATACAGGATGATTTATAAAGCCCTCTGTGATCCCTCTCCCACTTACTTCCCTGGCTGCCTCGTGTCATTCTCTTACTCTCTAAGCTCCAGCTCTAGAATTCTTTTGGACCTTTGGGCTCCCTACACTTCCTCATCCCGCAGGACTTTTGCACATCATTCCCTCCCTCCCCCATTTAGTTCCCTCTCCTTCACTCTTTGCATCATTCATTACACTTAAAATTACTTGATTAATGTCTGACTTTACAATCCCTGAAAGTAGGGACCCACATCTCTCTGTATCTTTAGACCTTAGCCTAGGACCTGACTTGGCAGGTATGCAATGTAAAATTAGTTGAATGACTGAATATACATATATAGGACAGGGTCACACTGAATGGTTTGTTTTCTAAATTTTGTCTCTTCATTCACTTGCTAAGCTCATTTTTTTTTTTACAGAGTACCTGTTCTGTGTTAGTCTAGCCTGTGCAGTATAAGCAACACAGCCATCAGGTGTTTACAAAAGACAGAGATAACCGAGTGGTCAACTAGTGGTGAAATTTTATGGAAGAAGCAGGTTTCTAGTTGAGCCTTGTAACCTGAGTGAGATTTGAACAGGTAGAGGGAACTGGGTATGTGTGCCTCAAAGGGGTCTCAGCAAGAGAAAAAGCGCTGCTAATTAGAGTATTGTTTACTAGTGATGGTAAGGACACCAGCCTCTCGGGACTCACCCTCTTTCCTTCCCTTCCATTTTCCATCCCTTCAACATTGATGGAGCTGGAAGAGCTATGGAGAACCTTGCAGCTGGAAGAGTGTTCTGGGCACACCATTTGCTTCAGAACCTGTTTTGGCTCCTAAGAATGAAAGACTTGGTCCCCATATCTCCAGCTATGCCTCTGTCTATTTTCACCCTACCTTCCTAGAGGGTGGAAAGCGTGCCTTTTACCACATTTGTAGCTCCCCACTGCTCACTTTTAAATGCTTTATGCCTGGTAAGCATCCAATTAATGCAGTTAAACAATGGAACCTCTCTTTTAAATTTGGAATGACCTGCCTCAAGCTAGGGTGAGGCTCGAAGATAAAGAGGTTAGGAACTCCAGGTTATAGTATTACATTTGAAAAGCAGGTAGACATAGTCTAGCATGTGGTCATCCTTTGTTTTCTTTTTAAAGTAGCTTAGAAAAACTGAGAAGGAATATATCAATATGTTCATTTCAGAAGATTTATAAAATACAAATTGCAGAAGAAAATGAAAATTATCTAGAATTTCACTATCTGGTGATCACCACTGTTAATATTTTTGTACATATCCTTCCAGTCCTCTATCCATTTATATACACACACACATATTTATAAGCCTAGTTTCATACAGTTCCATTTATTTATTGTGGTCAAAACCACATGATATAAATTTACCCTAATAACCATTTTAAAGTATATGATTCAGTAGTGTTGAGTATATTCATATTGTTGTGAAACAGATCTTCAGGACTTTCTGACCTCCTAATCCAATACTCTATACCCATTAAACTTTATTTTATTTACCAAGAAATTATAAACCTTTTCCCATAACACCAAATACTCAATGATACTGACTACTTTTCTTTAACATAATTTTTAATGGGTATATATTTTTTCATCACCCTATTTTTTAAAAATGAAATTCTTATTGTCGGATATTTGGATTATTTCTGGTTTTTCACCGTTACACACAAGGCTTTGGTGAACACTCTGTACATATGTCTTTGCATACTTGTTTGAATTTTTCTCTACAATAAACTCTCAGATGTGGAATTGCTGAATCAAGGGAGATGGAGGTTTTTAATGTTATTGATACGGGTTTATCTGAGTTTGGGCATGAGAAATTGCATCAGCAGAATAAAAAGGCCCATTTCCCCACACTCTTACCAGAAACTGGGTGTTATCTTCTGGCATCTTTTCTTTGGAGACCTTAGTTAATTTTTGAAATAAGCCTCTTATCAAAAAGGTATTTTTCTTAGGCATCCCCGTGGCACGTGTGTATTTTGGAGTGAACATGCATTTGATGTAGACTTGATACTCACGTACCTCTACAAACAAGATCGGAAAGATGCCTACTTGATCCCCTAACTTGCCTTCTGCCCAGTTCTCATCCACTCGGCTGATCACCGTGATGATATCGTCCTGAAAGAGACAAAGTCTCAAGGTCATCATTTGCTCTTGGTTTTCAGGTGGTGAAAGCTTTCAGTGGAGATCAGTGTGGAATCCCAGATGGTGTAAGGTACAAGAAATGTAACTCTTTCATATATTTAGTTACAAAATCTTCCTCTACAAAGGGCAGCATTTGGGTCACTGAGATGGCAAGAGGAGTAGTAATAATTTGGAGGGACCAGTGGAATCCAATTGAAAATTCCAAATTTTCAATCAGCAGCAGAATCTGGGCTTTAGTTTATATTAATCTGATAGAGAAATCAATATGGGAGCCATAGGGAGAGAAATTTCTAGCTTAGCAAAAGGAAGAATAAATTTCATTCTAATTTTGAAGATTTTTCAGAACTTATTCAACTTTAAAATTTTTTTTTATTTTTAAGTAATCTCTATATCCATTTGGGGCTTGGGCTCACAACCCCGAGATCAAGAGTCGCATGCTCCACCGACTGAGCCAGCCAGGCACCCCTATTCAATTTTTAATGGATCAAATATAAGGTGGCTTTTTATTCAAAATTTTCTTATTATAAAAGGTTATATGTAGATTTGTAGAAACATTAGGAAATACAGTAAAAAAAAACAACTAACTCTACCACAATATAGATATAACCATTGTTAACATCCCTGTTAGCACATTTTCCCCCAGATTCTTCTCTATGAAGATAAAACATACACACACACACACACACACACACACACACCACACACACAGTGATTCTTAAAAACTTGCTGAAAACAAACACACATACAATGAAGTTCATAAAGTTTGGATGTAAAGCTTGACGAATGTTAACACTATTTCCATGAAACCCCCGTCCAGATGAAGAGATAGAGAACATTTTCAGCACCCACAAGGCTCCTTTGTGCCCTTTCCCATCATCTAGCAAGAAGTAACCACTGTTCTGACTCCTAGCATATGTATATGTATACATTCATTCTGCCCATCCTTATATTTCATACAAAAGAAGTCATAAAGGACACACTGATTTTTCACCGTATCAGGAATGCCTTTCCACTTCCATACCTGTTCATCAGTCCAAATCTGAATATCCATCCACTGATTGCTCTGACCTTCTGATCCATGCCTCTCAGGAATTTAGATGAATCCAAATCTAAGTTCATTATTGCATTATACCTTTTCTTAGCTTTCCCTACCCCATCGCAATTTACAATGACACATTTGTAGGTTATGATTTCTTTAATGCCTTTAATGCCTGTCCATCCTATCAGACTATAAACTCCATGTGTTCAGGGCCTCTTTCTGCTCTGTTCATTTCTGTGTCCCCAGCAGCCAATACAGTGGTTCCCATTTAGTAGTCATTCAGTAAATATTTCTCAATGACTGTCTGTATGCATGAATAAGTGAACGTGTGAATAAACCGTACAATCTACTGAGATGGAAAGCACCAGGACAAGAGCAGCTTTTGGGAGGGAAGATCTTGGGTTTAGTTCGGACATGCTGAGTTTAGGAAGACCATGAAATTTCCTAGTGTAGTCGCAGCCTTCCATAGCTTCCAGAATGGAGCAAATCCTCTCTTCTCGTTCCTTTGTCATAGTTTCCCATTCATATGTGTCTGTTCCTTCCACTAGTCTGCCAGCTCTGTGAAGGTAGGGACAATGATTTATCATTTTATCCCCAGTGGGCAGCTTGGCACATGGATGGGCTCATTGAATGAACGAGCAGGTGGAGTGAGCTTTGCGAATTTTGCAAATTTCCCAAGAGGGGCAAAAATGCAGATAATGCTTCCTACCTCTGCCTTCCTCCAGTGGTGTCCGCTGAGCTCAGCGTTTAAGGCCTGGCACAAAGTAAATACTCAATAAATATCTGTGGGATGAAACTGCCCTTCCTCTAAGTGTCGTTGAAGCACAGGCTTTGCAGTTTGGGACACAGAATGACCTTCCTCAAGGGACTCACTCTGAGGTGCCAAGACAATAATGATCAATATTTCAAAATATGGAGGACAGTGATGTTATCTAGTTTGAGGCAATCTGAAATAAATCTCATTTCTGGTAGTGGTGGAATAAAAATGTTTTACAAAATAAAAGACCTTGAGCTACTGTACCAGAGCCACTTCTAGTATTTGATGTACTTATCATAAGTAGCAAAGAGTGAAAATCACCCCAACTTTGGCCTCTGTGAGAGAATTTGAATGTTTAAGGAATAATAAATACTGAATACAGAGAATTAAAGTAGTCTAGACTTTAGTAAAAGTGTTGTTACTTGCACATGGTCGGGAATTATCTGATAAAAAAAAAGAGGCAAAAAAAATCTTAGGATAATTAATGTGCTTGGAAAATATGTCTTGTAAGAGGTTATTTATATATAAAGTTATCTTATTGTGTGTTTGGAGGGCTTTGAATACAATGTTTATAATAAAATAGAATGTTGTAAAGAATCGAATTAGGGGCTCAGAACTTGGTCGGCAAGAATGCCTTTACAGATACATACAGAGGTAAGAGCTGTATTTTGCCCAGCACACTGTCAAGATGTATTTGTAAATTTTTGTCCACTTATCTCTCTCTCCCATTACTCTGCCTGAGGGCAGGGACTGTGATTTGTTCATGCTGCATCCCCAGTGCCTGCAAAGAAGAGGTGCTCACGAGTGACTACAGAATGAATGAATGAATGAATGTGTGAGTACTTATTTTTGTGATTGCAATAGGAAAGGTTTAAGGATTTCCATCAAACTCTCATTAGATTTCTCTGGCAACTTCATTCAGTTTTGAATTGTATACACACACATTACATATATGTGCACACACACACATATATATAAACATGCATGTGAAAATATGTATACATTTTTAAAATCAGCAAGTATTATACAACTCCAGGTTCTGCCACAGTCTCTATGTAGTCACCCGTGACCTCCATGGCTGCCCAAAATCTTACCTTGAGGAAGGTCAGGCAGTCCTGGTTCTCACTCTTGTTTTTGTGTCGTAGGTCGAAGTTGTAGAGGGCTCGGCAGAGTGGGGGTGGCTGGGGCAGCTGCTTGATGACTTCCACGGAGCTGGCTGGGAAGATCCCACTGACTCCATTGATCTCCCCCTGGTACCAGTTCTCATCCAGCTGTCTCCGGAGAAGGATGACATCTCCCTTATTAAACCTCAGGTCACCAGGATTCTGCCCTCGGTAGTTGCATAAGGCTTTTGCCCGAGGCACCTGCAGTGGCACAGACCAATGCAATAGGTCCTTAGTTTACAGGCTAGGGGGACAGAAGGTATAACATTCATAACTGATTCCTGAGCGCTTCCTATGTGCTAAAGTGCTGGATGTAGATCATCTTCTTTAACCTTTGAGATAGACATTCTTATTACCCCCTTTTCTAAGTAGGGCAACTGAGGCACAGAGTGGGTTAGTACCTTGCCTAAGGGGACACAGCTGGGAAATGGCAGATACGGGGTCTGAACTCAGGCTACATGATTTCAGAGCCCCTGTTCTTTTTTTTTTTTCTTGTTAATACAGTATTTATTTGTCTCCCTTCTATCAAACCCTGAGCCAACCACTCTCCCCAGGCTGCCTGGGGAGGTACAGGAAAAGGAACATACAGGGCAGACGAGACACTGGAGAAAGACCTATGGGAGGTGGAGACGGCTCCTTCACATGGCGAAGAGGATGAGAAAGGCCACCAGCAGGCACAAGAGCCTCATGGCCTCCGAGACGGCAAAGCCCAGAACGGCGCTGGAGAAGAGCTGTTGCTTCAGAGAGGGGTTCCTGGCATAACCAATGCTGAGGCTCCTAAATACAGCCCCAATTCCAGCCCCAGAGCCAGCCACCCCTACCGGGGCAGCCCCAGCCCCAGTGGACTTGACTGCTGTGTCAATTCCCTTGAAATGGCGCTGGTTCCCAGGAGCTGCGGCTAGAAATAAGTTGAGGTCAGGGGACGTGGGGCTGCCAAGCTGCCGAGGCTTTTCTAAGGTACCTCATCTGTCAGTGTCTCCGGTGGTTTTAGCACCACTGCAGACCGTGATCGGCTCAATAGCTGAGAGATGCTCCTGACTGAGAAGGGGGTGGAGACGAGCTTTGCACCGGCGGACATTTTCAGGGGCTGAGGGGCTGTGGCAGGAGGGCTTCTCTCAGTGCAGAGAAGACAGAGAGGGGTGGGGGCCAGAGCCCCTGTTCTTAATCCCTCTGCAGGGAATAGGATTTTGGACTTGACTTCACAACTATGTGAACTTGAGTGAGTCAGTGACTGTTTTTGGGGCCTGAATACTGATTGGGAATTCTGGCTCTACGTCTTTCCTCTCGTGTAACCGTGGTCAAGTCATTTAACCTTTCATAAATTATATCCATTTATAAAATGGGGTAATAATAGCATATGTACTTCATTAGGGTAGTCATGAAGACTATATATTCATAATGCATTTTTTAACAATTTTATTTGAGAGAGACAGAGAGAGAGAGAGAGAGAGAACACAAGCAGGGAGGAGGGGCAGAGGGAGAGGGAGAAGCAGACTCCCCGCTGAGCAGGGAGCCCGAGGTGGGGCTCCATCCCAGGACCCTGGGATCATCACCTGAGCTGAAGGTAGACGCTTAACCGATTGAGCCACCCAGGCACCCTAAATATTTATAATGCATTTAGTATATTGCTTGATACATAGTATGGGCCCAATAAATGGCATCTCTTATAGGATGGCTATAATAAGGAAAGGCTAACGATATCAGTTCTATTTATTCCTCAGCGTTGATGGGAAGAAAATGAGGTGAAAAGTCCCTGAAAATACAAAGTACTATACAGGGGGCACCCGGCTGGCTGAGTTGGAGAAGCATGCAACTCTTGATCTCAGGGTTGCGAGTTTAAGCCCCACACTGGGTGTAGAGATCACTAAAATTAATTAATTAATTAATTAATAAAAAGAAAGTGCTATATGAGAGTGATGCAACATAATTTGTCTTCAGCCTTCTCTAAAACGTGTAAACGTCATGAGTGTTTGGATCATTAAGAAGCACTGAGATAAAGAATTAGTCAGAAATCAATCATCACTTTAAAAAAAGCCAGCTAAATACTGTCATTTGTTGAATTAGTTGTCTCTCTAAATAATTGTTTCAGTCAAGTGCATTTTTTTTTTTTCTAATTGAAACTGGTTTCTACATGCAGAAACAGCCTCACTTTGGTCTTGCTTGGAGTCAGAGTGGCAAACTGCAAGCTCTAATAACTTATGTTTACTAGCCCTTCAGTGTCACCTGGGATTGTATTGTATTTTGTGCTTTCCTCAGCAGTGGGGTGAAGTAGTCCCCTCTCTTGGGGGCAGTCTTGCTATTCATAAGGGGATGTAAGCAGGCAGTATTTCAGTTCTCTGAGAACCTTCTGAATGAATCTGCAGTGTTCATTCAAGCAGTTCAGGGGTAGAGATAAGACCTGAGCAGTCCCTTGCTGATGGGATGTTAGAGCAGTGCTTTTCTGCTGGACCCTGGACACAGTAAGGAGGGCCCAGGCAGATAGAAAACCACAGGAAAACGCTCATCTTCGGGAAACTAGTGGACAAGTGAGTGAAGACACATGTGCTAGGAGGGCTAGCACAGAGCTGTGGATATTATAAATGCAACTGGTTGAATAAATTATGAAAAACCCTGTAGTCATTAAAATTGATGATGTTGCTCTGTAATTAATAACACTGACCATTACTCATGATATACACTAAGTATAACAAGAGATTAAAAAGTTATGTTTTCATTATAAATGAAAACTAGGCTTTCACTGTAAATACATATGTATATTTTTACCTGGGGAAAATGCTGGATGGCTATACCAGCATTTTAAGAGTGGTTATTTCTAAGTGTTGATATTTTTGAATATTAAAAAAAATGGTTTCCCTAAGTGCTTAGCCATGTTTTCTAACTTTTCTGCAATGAAATAATTGTATCGTCTATTAAAATTGGACAGTAGAGGGGAGCCTGGGTGGCTCAGTCAGTTAAATGGCTGCCTTCGGCTCAGGTCATGATCCCGGGGTCTTGGGATTGAGCCCCACGTGGAGCTCTCTGCTCAGCGGGGAGCCTGCTTCTTCTTCTTCTCCCTCTGCAGCTCCCCCCTGCTTGTGCTCTCTTTCTCTGTCAAATAAATAAATAAAATCTTTAAAAAAAAATTGGACAGTACAGGAACGCCTGGCTAGCTCAGTCAGTAGACCATCTGACTCTTGAGCTCTGGGTCATGAGTTTGAGCCCCATTTTGAGTGTGCAGATTACTTAAAAAAAATTGAAAAAAATTGGATAGTAGAAATAAAATGAATGAAATTGGGGAATGAGAAGTGAAAGGTATGAGAGCAACTTAACTTAGGAAGAAAATAAGCCAAGCTGAGTGGGATCAACAAACCATGCGACTACCTTCTTGGAGAAGTTTCTTTCTTTTTTTTTTTTAATTTTTATTGTTATGTTAATCACCATACATTACATCATTAGTTTTTGATGTCGTCTTCCATGATTCATTGTTTGTGCATAACACCCAGTGCTCCACGCAGAACGTGTCCTCTTTAATACCCATCACCAGGCTAACCCATCCCCCCACACCCCTCCCCTCTAGAACCCTCAGTTTGTTTTTCAGAGTCCATCATCTCTCATGGTTCGTCTCCCCCTCCGACTTACTCCCCTTCATTCTTCCCCTCCTGCTATCTTCTTTTTTTTTCTTTTCTTAACATATATTGCATTATTTGTTTCAGAAGTACAGATCTGTGATTCAACAGTCTTGCACAATTCACAGCGCTCACCATAGCACATACCCTCCCCAATGTCTATCACCCAGCCACCCCATCCCTCCCACCCCCCACCACTCCAGCAACCCTCAGTTTGTTTCCTGAGATTAAGAATTCCTCATATCGGTGAGGTCATATGATACATGTCTTTCTCTGATTGACTTATTTCACTCAGCATAACACCCTTGGAGAAGTTTCTTATCTGAGAAATAAGGTGGTAGAAGCAGAATGAGAGCACAGGATTTCCGAAGAATGAAATGAATCTGTTAGACTCCTAGGGTTGCGCAGATCCGGACACAATAGTTGTCCCCTCCTTCTTCCAATTTTCCATTGTAATATAAATCACATTTTTGGGGTACATGGCCACCTAGAACACTGGTCACATTTTCCAGCCTCCCCGGGGCAGCTAAGTTTTGGCCAATGGCGTATAAGCAACTTTTAGGACGTGTCGTTCCTGAGAGAGACTGATTTTCTCTTTCCTTTCCTGCATTTTGCCATGTGGAATGCAGACATGATTGCTGGAGTTTTAGCTGCCATCTTGAATAGTGAGGATGAGGGTCACACTGAAGAAGGGAAGGAAGTAGTCTGGGTTGAAGAGCTGCCAGACAATTCCTGGACTACTTTTACACTTCTAGACATTTGTCTGGAAGCTAAATAAACGTCCATCTTGCTTAAGGCACTGTTACTTTGGATTTGTAAAAGTAAAGGAAAAGGAAGAATGAAAAAAAATTAAGAAAAAAAGAACTGAAGCCCCTTTGACTTTGCATAGTAATGATAATATCAATAGCTAAGATTAGTGACTGTTCCTTCCCACATGCCAGGCATTGTGCTAGGTACTCCACAATAGATCTTATTTAATCTCATGACAACTTGTGATTAGAAAACTGTGGATCAGAGAGGTTAAAAAAGTGGCCCAAGTTCATGAAGATAGACAGTGGTGGGTTTAGGGTTTGAGGTGGGGTTTGTCTATCCTGAGGAGCTCAAGCTCTTACCCCCTCAGCCAGTGTTTTTCAAAATAAAGTCTGTGGTTCACCTGTATCAGAATCCTGGGAGATGTCCAAAATGCAGATTCCTGGACCCCAACCTTGACCTCTTTGACCAGAATCTTTTGGTTGCATTTTTACCAAGCTCCCCCAGCATCCAAGTTTGATGCCCCTGGTCTGAGTTACATCTTAGTCTAACTAAAATGGGAGCAATGGAATTTCAATGTAGGTTTTGTGAATGGCTAAGCTGCATTTTTTCACATTCCAGTGCAAGTGGCAACGTATTTTAATGACTACTGAGCAAGTATATTAAAACTGAAATTGCCCAATTGTACATAGTGCTTAAATCTCTGTGAAGACACATGAGCTTTGAAACCTTGAGATAGTACTAAGTGCTTGACAATCTTCATCTTTCCCCCATCTCCCCTTAGTACAGGCAAGTACTGTGGAAGCACAATGTCAATCCATTTTTAACTTCTTTCTCTTCAGTCTC